GCTGGGATTATAGGCATGAGCCACGATGTCCATCCATGCCTTTTTAAAAAACTTTTTATTTTTTAAAATTTTTATCATTTTTTTTTTAAGACAGAGTCTCACTCATTCTGTCACCCAGGCTAGAGTGCAGTGGCGTGATCTCAGGTCACTGCAACCTCCCCCTACTGAGTTCAAGTGATTCTCCTGCCTCAGCCTACCAAGTAGCTGGGATTACAAGCACCCACAACCACACCAGGCTAATTTGTGTATTTTTAGTAGAGATGGGGTTTCCCCATGTTGTCCAGGCTCGTCTCAAAGTCTGGATCTCAGGTGAACTGCCTGCCTTGGCCTCCCAAAGTGCTGGGATTACAGGTGTGAGCCACCTCATTAGGCCCATCCATGCTTATTCTTGCTCCCGCTTTCCTTTATTCTTCACAGGCTTTTATTTTATTTTTTTCCCCTGTCAATTTCTTGCACATCAAATTCCACCTTGGCATCTGCTTCTTGTGTTATGGAACCGAACTGGGATCAGCTCACCTGGTTCCTCCTTTGTTCATTGTTCTCTCGTGGCACAATGGCTACCAGGAGTACCCTTCCTGCAGTCCAGGAAGTAAAAAATTCTGTTGCTGAAAGAGCCTTTGTCTCAGTGCTAATTTTTCTTTGCGGTACCGAGCATCTATTTCCAACACTACCCAAGGCCAGGAGTTTGAGATCAGCCTGGGCAATATAGCAAGACACCATCTATATGAAATTTAAGAAAATTAGTCAAGCCTGGTGGTGCAAACCTTCAGCTGGGATTACAGGCACGCGCCACCACGCCCAGCTAATTAGTAGAGACAGGGTTTCACCCTGGTGGTCAGGCTGGTCTCAACCTCCTGACCGCAAGTCATCCACCTGCCTTGGCCTCCCAAAGTGCTGGGATTAGAGGCATGAGCCGCTGTATCTGGCCCCAAACTGTTTTTGTTACAAATAGGGTCTCCCTCTGTCACCCAGGCTGGAGTGCAGTGGCGCAATCATAGCTCACCGCACCCTTGAACTCCTGGGCTCAAGCAGTCCTCCCACTTAACCTCCCGTGGAGCTGGGACCACAGGAACTTTTCTACTTCCCACAATTCCCTGCTCTTTTACTTTATAGTTTTTCTTTTTAAACCTTTTTAAACATATTTTGGCTTAGTTGTTCTGCCTGAGTTTTTGAAAGAAAAACTTTCTCTTTTCTCTTTACACTATTTCCAGGCCCCGCCCTATCCCGGGCCCCGCCCCTCACGCTCGCTGGGATGTGCAGCCTCAGTCTCCGCTGGCCAATCCAGCCTCCCTTGCCGTTGCGCGCCCCGTCCCCTCCTTCGGCGCTTGCGCGCACCTTCCCCTGCTCCTCCTTCCTCACTCCTTAGGGGTCTGTTAGGCGGTGGGCATGTGGGTGCCGGGCGTGGAGCAAGCAACCGAGCCATTGGGGGGCTACGGCGGTGGTGGGGTTAGCGGCGGCGGCGGCAGAGCGGGAGAAGGAGGGGACCCCTGAGCACCGGGCCCTCTTTAACCTGGGGCCCTGGGTGAAGTGCTCTGCCGCCCTTGCCTCCAGGTCGCTGGCTGGGGAGTGGGCTGGGCGCGGCCGCACTGGGCCAGGGTGGGGGCTGGGGGTGGGGAGCGCAAAGTGGGAGCTCCGGCCTGGGGTCGGTGGGGACCGAGCCGCGGGGCATCGGGCGGGGCGGGAGGCGGCGGCTGGGCGCTCCTGTCCCAGGGGCAGCCCAAGCCCAGGCTGCGCGGCGAAGGTGGGGGGTGCCTCAAGGTCGCCAGGGAGGGTTGAGGTGACAATGCAGTCGGGAGGCCGGGGCGGTGGGGTGCGGTCGGACGGGCGGGGGCCGCGCTGGGCTGGAGCGCGAGGGTCAGAGGAGGGTTGATCCCAGCCGGCCTAACAGGTTTCCTAGTTCTCGGGAGGCGGGCCGGGGGTGTGGGATGCTGTCCGCAGCACCCGCGAGGCCAGCGGCCCCCTCTTGCTCCCCCATCGCTGCAGCCTAGGCCTTGGGGCCCGCGCCGACTCAGGGTCTTCCTGGTGCTAGGACGGGTGTTTCTGTGGTCAGGCCTCTTTGTACTCCAGCGCTAGTAAGAATTTGCAGACTTCTTGAGACCATGACATTTGCGGGCAAACGTGAATTTGACCCTACTGTGGAAGAAGATACCGGCACTTGACATATCTGATTTCTTTGATTTCCACTCGTATATTTCAGTGTGCCAGGAGGGGGAAATGGTGTGAGTTTGGGTCTTAGTTTAAGCTTCATCGGAGTAAAGGACAAGTATGTTATGTGGATGGTGGTGTTTTAGGCATTGGCATGACTTAAATGTTGTTGCTTATTAGTATAATAGGATACCTCCAACAGATTAAAAACACACTTTGCTAAACTTGAGCGATTTGTTTGTGTTACTGATCATATTAGTTTTTTTTTTAATGTTGTAATTGGTTTGTCTGTTTTATTTTAACGCATTAAATTTTCCTAGGCAAGTTAATTTATTTCTACTCACATATTGTTGATTACATGAACAAGGTAGCACTGGAGTTTGTCTTGTTATTGGTTACAAATTTCAGGGTGCTGATCTTTCTGCTTAGCCTTCTCATGGACCAGATATTCTATCTAATTTGCTCTTAAACTAAAATCCTGTAGCTTTTTACAGGGGAAATAATAATCACATGGCCAAATGAAACATTTTGAAAGTGCATTTAAAATGTAGGTATTAGTTTACAAGGAAAAATACCTAGATGTGACAAAAAACTCCTATTTGTTGTTGGTGGTTATTCCGAACCAAGTTAGTAGGCCGATTAGACTCTCAGATACCCTTTGAGAAACATTGAGTGTCTTTTATGCAAAATTGTTGTTTCCACTTTGGGAAAGGACTTTTAAACTCATAAGTACCTTCCACCTGAAGTTAGTTGAATGAATAAATATATAAGGAAAACATGATGCAGCAGCACATTTCAAGTATTTAAGAAACAAGAACTAAAAATAATTTTGATCCTAGGTTAATATGGAATTTAAGCAGAATTATGATCAATTTTAGATTTTCTTTTGAAACAAGTAGTCTAAAATAAATGGATCTTTTAACATTGGGGCATGAAGGAGTACTTTACTGTATGCTTAAGTTCTTAAAATTGACTTTCTTTAAAAAAGAGAGTTTTGAACCATTTAAGAAGCATACATTCTAAATAGTCTCATAGTTATAGATCCTGCAAGAGCTGCATGTTTGTGCGTCATAAAACATCAAGAAGTATATTAAAAGTATGTATAAGTACATGTAAGACTAAAGGTAACGATCTCTTTATAGCTTTAAATGTGAATTTAATATATTGTGACTGAAAGTGTTTCAGTGTGTAGCTGTGAACATAAAACAGTTTAACTTAGATGCTTGTTAAAGGGTAGGTAAAAATAAGATATGCTAATAAGAAGAGTAAATAACTTACTTGCTATCTATACAGTGAAATTATTTTAAGAAATTTGTTCAGTTTGATCAGCCTGTTTATAAACTACTTGCAAAAATCAAGTAGTTTATAAGCTACTCATTTAATAAATGAATTTACAGGTCAACTTATTTTGAAAATATGAACAGGCTGATCAAAGTCACATATGTACGTATACGTATACGTATATAATCACATATATATACATATATAGACTAATTTTCCTTTGGATGTAGGTAGACAAAACATTGAAAGTTTTTATTTTGTCTAGCTGAAAGAGACTTTAAATGAAAGCTGCTATTGGACACCTCAAGTAACAGGCCGGGCACAGTGGCTCATGCCTGTAATACCAGCACTTTGGGAGGCCGAGGCAGTAGGTCACCTGAGGCTGGGAGTTCTAGACCAGCCTGACCAACTTGGAGAAACCCAGTTTCTACTAAAAATACAAAATTAGGTCAGTGGGCATGGTGGTGCATGCCTGTAATCCCAGCTACTCAGGAGGCTGAGGCAGAATTGCTTGAACCTGGGAGATGGAGGTTGCGGTGAGCCAAGATCGCACCACCGCACTCCAGCCTGGTCAACAAGAATGAAACTCTGTCTCAAAAAAAAAAAAAAAAAAGTTAGAGCCTAGAGAAAAGTTAACAGATGAAAAAGACTCTGAAGAAAGTCCTCCTCCAGGATCCAGTGTCAGCACATGGTTTTGGATTGCTTATACTCATCTTGATTCTCATTTCACAATTCCCAAATGTCCTAATCCAAACAGAATAAGGTAGAGGTTAAAGAGAGAATCTTGAGGGGCATGTGTTATCTGTGTGTAAAGTCCCCTATTATTTTGGGGCCATCATGATGTAAAGGGCCAGACTTTTGGATTTCTAAAGAAATATTTTCCCAAAATAAGGAGGCTACAATAGAAATGCTGATTTCTTTCTTTCTTTTTTTTTTTTTTTGAGACAGAGTCTTGCTCTTTTGGCAAGCTGGAGTGCAGTGGTGTGATCTCAGCTCACTGCAGGCTCTGCCTCCTGGGTTCAAGTGATTCTCCTGTGTCAGCTTCCTGAGTAGCTTGGATTACAGGTAAGTGCCACCACGCCCAGCTAATTTTTGTATTTTTAGTAGAGACTGGGTTTCACCATGTTGGCCAGTATGGTTTCAATCTGTTGACCTCGTGAGCCACCGTGCCTGGCCTGATTTTTAAATTTCTACCAGGTACAGCCAATAAAAATATCACACCACTGTCTCCTATCACCATCATTTCATTTAACAAAAGGATATTTTCACTCAAACAATTGGAAAGAACAGAATCAGAATACATTTTATTTTTTATTTTTTTGAGATGGAGTCTTGCTCTTTCGCCAGGCTGGAGTGCAGTGGGACGATCAGTTTTGGCTCACTGAAACCTCCATCTCATTGGATTCAGTGATTCTTCTGCCTCAGTGTCCTGAGTAGCTGGGACTACAGGTGTGCACTACCACGCCCAGCTAATTTTTGTATTTGTAGTAGAGACAGGGTTTCACCATGTTGGCCAGGATGGTCTTGAGCTCTTGACCTCATGATTTGCTTGCCTCGGCCCCCTGAAGTGCTAGGATTACAGGCATGAGCCACTGCACCCAGCCAGAATAAAGTATCTTTAAATGGAATCATTTAGGTATATTGAAAAGTTTACTTTCAGGCCAGCCTGGCCAACATGGTGATACCCTGTCTCTACTAAAAATATAAAATTAGCTGGGCATGGTGATGTGCACCTGTAATCCCAGCTACTCCAAAAGCAGAGGTAGGAGAATTACTTGAATCCAAGAGGCAAAGGTTGCAGTAAGCATAGATGGTGCCATTGCACTCCAGCTGGGCTACAAGAGTGAAACTCCATTTCGTCAGACAAACAAACAAAAAAGTTTATTTTGTGTCCTTATTTTTCCCCATTTTCTCATAAATCAATGAAAATTCTGCTGCAAACTTACACCAGCCTGCCAGCTAACATTACGTTAGTCCTCCCTGCCCAGTTGGTTTGGTATATTGAGCTCAAATCTAAGGGATGGGGTGGGGGTGGGGAGGCTTCCAGCTACCCCAGTTCTTAAACTTGTGGCCTTTTGTTCATGGTCCCACAGTTTCTTATGTTAAATAGGGATTTTTACACCTACTTAGGGGTTGGCTCACACCTGTAATCCCAGCACTTTGGGAGGCTGACACCTGGCAGATCTCTTGAGCTCAGGAGTTTCAGACCAGCCTGGGAAACAGGGCAAAACCCTGTCTCTAAAAAAAAAATACAAAAATTAACCAGGCATGGTGGTGCATGCCTTTAGTTCCAGCTTCTTGGGAGGCTGAGGCGTGAGGATCGCTTGATCCCGGGAGGCTGAGGTCACTGTGGAGTGAGCCATGATGGTGCCACTGCACTCCAGCCTTGGTGGTAGAGAGAGACCCTGTCTCATCAAACAAACCAACCTACTTTGCCAGATGAATATTAGGATGAAAAGTGATTACATATACGTTCCTGAAATAAAGTCTGTCCTCAGTTCTAGCTGTTACCATTGATTGGAGATGTTACTTTTTTTTTTTTCAGTGTTTGTTAATAAATGCCTTTATAATAAGTTTCTTGTATATAGTCATTTATATGTTTAAATGTTAATTGTTTTAATGTATTTTATTGCTGATCATGGCATGGCATAAAGATGTGTTCATTTAAAACACTTGAAGTTGTGCAAGAGAAACTAATATGCAGAATTTTTTTTTTTTTTTTTTTTTTTTGAGATGGAGTCTTGCTCTGTCAAGCAGACTGCAGTGCAGTGGTGCGATCTTGGCTCACTCGAACCTCTGCTTCCAGGTTCAAGTGATTCTTCTGCCTCAGCCCCCCCAAGTAGCTGGGATTATAAGCACCCACCACCATGCCTGGCTAATTTTTGTGTTTTTAGCAGAGACAGGGTCTCACCATGTTGGTCAGGCTGGTCTTGAACTCCTGACCTCAGGTGATCTGCCCACCTCAGCCTCCCAAAGTGCTGCAATTACCGGCATCAGCCACCATACCCAGCCTTAATGTGCAGACTATTGTATGTAGGTATTTCCTATATGTTAGACCCCCTCTAAGAAGGGTTTCTATGTAAGAATAGTACAAATGATCTGGAAAGGTTAATAGGCTTGACAAATTTATGTTTCTTAACATTGTAAAAGTAGTCCAGTTGTCCTATGGTATATGCATAGGACATATACCATATGAGGTTGGTTCCAGGACCCCTATTTCTACCCAAATCCTGATACTCAAGTCCCTGCTGTGGGCCCTGCAGATCCTGGGTATGTGAAAAGTTAGGCCTCCATATATGCAAGTCTGTATTTAGTTGAAAAAGATCCACATGTAAATGGGCCCAGGCAGCTCAAACCCATGCTTTTCAAGGGTCCACTGTATTTGAAAATAAAGTCCACAAAAAAATTGCCTTGTTCTACAAAATGTTGGATTACTACCTCTCTCATATCTTAAAAAAAAAGTACCATCTATTTACTACCCTATTGAGATAATACAACTTTTAGAATAAAACCTAGGGCCAGGTGTGGTGGTTCACATCTGTAATCCCAGCACTTTTGGAGGCAGAGGTGGGCAGATCACCTGAGGCCAGGCGTTTCAGACCAGGCTGACCAACATGGCGAAACCCCATCTCTACTAAAAATATAAAAAATTACCCGGGTGTGGTGGTGTGGCCTGTAATCCCAGCTACTCCTGAAGCTGAGGCAAGAGAATCACTTGAACCCTGGAGGCAGAGGTTGCAGTGAGCCGAGTTCATGCCACTGCACTCCAGCCTGGGCAATGAGCAAAACTCCATCTCTTAAAAAAAAATTTAAAAAAGACAGGCGTGGTGGGTGCCTGTAATAGTTACTCAGGAGACTGAGGCAGGAGAATCACTTGAACCCAGGAAGTGAAGGCTGCAGTGAGCTGAGATCGCACCATTGCACTCCAGCGGGCACATCAACAGCAAAACTCTTAAAAAAAAAAAATAAATAAAAAAAAGGACCTAGAAGTATTTATTGCTCCTTTCTTTGTCTCAGACTCTGAGGTTAAGCGACTTGCCCAAGATAACACAGGTAGTAGCAAATCGAGACTTGATACCTGGCTTCCAGAGTACTTATTTAGAATCACCTCTGCACCCCCATTTTAAAAATTAAATCTTATCTAGGTAATGCATTTGCTGCTTCAGGGTTGAAAGATAACAAGGCATGTACAGTGAAAAGTCTTTACATCTCTTCCCCCAAACAGACAGTTCTCCCTGTCAGTAGGCTGCTGTGAAACTTTTCAGAGCCATTTGACACATAGACAAGCATCCATATGACTGTATTATTCCTACCCCCCTTTTTTTTATTTTAACAGGGGTATGTCATGTATATGTTCTGATAGATAGCCTGCTTTGGCTTGGCATTTGCCCCATTGCTCCTGTACTTTAAATGCTTGCATTTATATTTAGTGAAATGTTAATAACTGCTAGGACATAAAAGAGAATTTGTTTTGACTAGCCAAGATGAATTTAAGAAATAAAATTCCTAAAATTGTCATTGTTTCTTGGTATGGAAATTTTAGAAGCAGGTTGAACTGAAAAGAGTCCAAGGGGAATAGAGAAATATCACAAAGAAGTGAATCTGGACTGTAGTAGGGATAAATGTTAATGCTTTCAGATAATACTATATGCTAGGCAGTGGTCTAAATGCTTTACATATATTATTTATTTATTTATTTATTTTTGAGACGGAGTTTCGCTCTTGTTGCCCAGGCTGGAGTGCAATGGCACGATCTCGGCTCACCGCAATCTCCGCCTCCTGGGTTCAGGCAATTCTCCTGCCTCAGCCTCCTGAGTAGCTGGGACTACAGGCACGCACCACCATGCCCAGCTAATTTTTTGTGGTTTTAGTAGAGGCGGGGTTTCACCATGTTGACCAGGATGGTCTCGATCTCTTGACCTCGTGATCCGCCCGCCTCGGCCTCCCAAAGTGCTGGGATTACAGGCTTGAGCCACCGCGCCCGGCCTGCTTTACATATATTATTAAAGTCTCACAACAGTCCCATGAGGCCGGTAGCTTTTATCACCATTTTACAGATGAGTAAACTGAGCCACACAAACTAACACTTGATCCAGGTAATACAGTGGCAGAGGCCTGATTCTAACCGAAGCAGTCTGGCTCAAGAGTCCAAGCTCTTTACCACTACTCTTTCTGTCTTTCTGTCTTCCTGTCTTCCCTTTTTTATTTTTTCTTCCTTTCCCTCCCTCCCTCCATCCTTCCTTCTCCTTCCCTTTCCTTTCCTTTTCCCTTCCCTCCCCTCCTCCTCTCCTATCCTTTTTCCTGCTTTCCTTTCCTTCACTTCTTTCCCTTCCTTTCCTTCCTTTCTTTTTTTCTTTTCTTTCCTTTATTTTTTTGAGACATTGTCTCACTGTGTCCCCAGGCTGAGTGCAGTGGTGCAATCATGGCTCACTGCAGCCTCAACCTCCCCACATCAAGTAATCCCCAACCTCAGCTTCCCAAGTAGCTGGGTCTACAGGTGCACACCCCACCATGCCTGGCTCATTTTTTCTATTTTTTGTAGTGACAAAATCTCACTTTGCTGCCTGGGCTGTCTCAAATGCCTGGCCTCACGCAATCCTCCCACCTTGGCCTTCCAAAGTGCTGGGATTACAGTTATAAGCCATCACAACCAGCCTTTAATCACTACTTCAAATTCCACTTAGATCTAATATTGTTAGAATGATAACCATATCAACCAGATTTTTTAAATTGCAAAAAAAAAAATGCTGCCATTTTTCATATCTGTATGACAAAAATATGTAGAGTTTGTATTATAGCTTTTACCTGTTTAGAGCATTGTTTGGAAAGGCAAGGTGGTACTGTGAAGGTATTGGTATTCAAGAAGTAAGTTCCTGGAGTGTTTGCCTTGTAAACCTGAAGTTGTGAGGACTTGGTTTGTCACACCCAGTTAGCTGACAGATAGGCAATGGGGGTGAGCTATCTGGAAGACTTAGCTGGTTAGCCTAGGGAGGAATGAGATCAGGAATCTAGGTACCTGGAGGGAGAGAGAGAAGAGTTTGAATCTGTCCTAGGTTGGGGTAGCTCTTTCTGAGTGAGGCCTTGTCATGTGGACCTGCTGCACATAGAGATGGAAGAATTGGACCTGAGGCTTGATGCTAGCTAAAGCACCACCCAGATCTAGAAATTTAAGAGGAGTTCATTTTCTCAATCATTAGGAAGAACTCAAAGGGCAGTAAACTGTGATCATTTGAGAAGAAGAGCACGCGGTCATATTTGAATGTAACATACTCAATTGGGTTGGGAAAGAACCAGAATCTAGAGGTTGGTCATAAAAAGTGCAAAACCAGGTGTTCTTGTAAACCATGTATTCATGTAAACACTGATAAGACATAGCACTGAGCCCTGGGCCTTTATTCTATAAAGTGCTTGTACAGGCTGAGGATCCCTTATCAGAAAATCCAAACTCTGAAATTCCCTGGTGAGCATTTCCTTTGAGTGTCATATTGGCACTCACAGCTTTGGGATTTTGGAACATTTTGGATTTTGCACTTTCAAATTTGGGATGTGCAACCGGTATATACAATGCACATATTATGAAATCTGAAAAGATTCCAAATCCAAAGTATTTCTGCTCCAAAGCTTTCAGATAAGGAGTATTCAACCTGTAATGGATTGTACTAGATATGTATTAGATTACCAGTTTTCAAAATTTGTATCTCAGAATCCTTGTTCTGTGTCAGTGAGACAGAGATTTCATATG